TTTTATTTATTCAATTGTTCTATTTTTACTTGTATTTTATTTCACTATTATTTCATTTCAGGTTTATTTTGGTTAATATAATTATTATTTTCAGCTATCTCATTTTTAATTCTTCTTTTTTAGTTGTTTCAGGGATTTCAAATCATTTTATATAGTAGACAATGGAAGTCCGAACTAGTGAAATTGAACATTTATACTGTTTACTACCAAGAAAGCAGTTCTTCAATTCTTTTCTCTGCTAGTCTCTTTTCAAAAGGTTTTTCTGTGTGTTTTCGGATATGTTTTTCCCAGGATAAGATTTGATATTTATTTTTGTTCAAAACAAATTCTACAACTATTTTTCTCGTAGATTTACCGGAGTCGACCAGACGAGAATGGCGGATCAGGCAGAAGTACAAATACGACCATAGAGACAAGAAGCGCAAACCTGGTACACCGCTTCTTGAACATGTTGATTCAAGCATCAGTGAACGCGCCCTGGCGAAAAAGGAGGAAGAAAAAAAAGAGGCAGCTGAAGAAGAACCCACAGAGTTTGCCTCTGACGAGGAAATTCCAGTTGTGCCATACAAAAAACTAGATCCCACATCTAGTGAGTTTGCTGTATCATTAGAAGGTATAACCAATTGATTTCAAGTTGTAGCATTATTGAGAGTTCAGGATTCTACTAGATGTTGTCCAATGTCCCTTAATTCATTTATGATCAATACTGGAGTGTCCTGAGGTTCGATTCTTCTACTGACCCTTTCAGATGACGGGTGTCTAGAATTTCTCCATCGATCATAGTAATCAAGCGGAACAAGCGCTAAAAGCTTTGATGAAGACATGGCCAAGATTGTGGAGGATTCATTAGCCTTGTAGATTTTGGTAGCAGTAAAACGAAAAGTTGCCCTCTTATCAGAAAAACCGCGGAATCTATGATCGCTGGTGAATATTGTACCATAAGTGGGATACTGTGAATCAGCAGGTCCCTCACAGGTTGAGCTCTGAAACAGGAACACAAAATTTGGCTGTCTTTTGTTATCTTGACGTTTGTTTCCCTCTCTATCTGCTACAAGGCACAATTTCGACCTGTTCAAGAATACTTTCCAATTCCATACAAAAAAAAGTCCTTGTTTCAACCATACCACTCGTATATATCAACTCTTGAATATCATAGTTTGAAATTCCCAAACGAATTTTTCTCATCAAGCTGTTTCATCATGAATACGAATAAGAATAACCTTTCAGGAAAGGCCTACATGGATGCCAAGAGAAGTTTGATGGTGAAGGTTCATGGAAATATTTTGAATCTGAGGAAATATGCGATTCTAGGTGGTGTGTTTCATCTTGATTTACTGTTTCAACCACCCCAACCACAAGATTTTGTAACCACCGATATGACCATTACTTGCCGTGAGTAACCAACATTCATACATTTGCACTAGCGGATGTCCAAAAGAACTTAAGTTGAAATTTCTAAAATTATAGATAGTATAGTTCTTGAACACCCTACTTTTTTTTACTTACTTCTTCAACTTTCTTATGAATAACTTCTTTAATGAGTTCTTTTCCAGTTTATTTGCCGAAAAAGTTAGAACACGTTCCATTTTCGGTTATTTACAACCCTCCAGTGCCACCAGAGTCTGGCGTGAAACGGCTACCCGAAGAAATAGAGGAAGAAATGAAGAAGCAAGAAGAGGAAATGGATAAACTTATGATGGTGACTCTAACGTATGTTTGCGTCTTTCACATTCATTCTGATACATTCAATAATTTTGTTTAAGTTGGCCACTGCATGTAATATTTTTGGAACTGCCTCTTGTGTGCCAATGGGATGAAACCAAGAAACACTGGACTAAGGAAAATATCCATGACTTGAAACATAACGAAGAAAAGTGTACTCTGACTTTCAGAACTGGGTTATTCGGAATTTTTGGTCTTGCGGCCGTGAGGTACGCTAACTTGCCGTATCAAGCTTGGGAAATTAGACCCGAAGCTGAGTAAGTAAAGTCATAGTTTCATTGTGAGAATCTATCGGTCCCCTAGTTTACTAGTTTATCTAGGAAATCCGTAAAGGTTATCTATAGGTTTCAACTTTTGAAATGATAATGTATTCACAGACCATTCAACTCTCTCTCTCTCTCTGTTTTAATCAGGAAACTAGAAAAAAATTGATATTGAGTACCATGTCAATTATCCAAAGCTAATACAAAACAAACTATAAGATTCTTTATACGCTATCTAGCAGTAAAGCTATTCACTGGTTTTCTGCATCGAAGGAAATAATCTTGAATTGACATTTCAAAATGTCAAGTTTCCTATATCTACCCCGTATGGATTTCAATTTTGAACATTTTCCAGAGTGTTTGAAGATAGCAGGAAGAGAATACCATATGATTAAAAAATAAAAAAAAACATGACATAACTTTATCCTCTGTAATTATTTTTCATATTTTCAGTGAATCCGTTACAATCAACATTACCGCGACTATACTGATAATTGAGCTCAACATAAAAAATGGTTTGATTTGCATTACTCAACTTCAAAATAGTCCAAACAACGCTCTTCAAGATATGATCGGGATATATTTCAAGATATACAAACTCAAAAGGGTAAGTTACTCAATTTACTTTCAACTTTTCAGAAAGTTCCAATGCTGGTACTCACTGTTACAAATAATCTTTCAAAGGACAAGCACAGCAGCGTCGCAAAAGTTTTCTTCACTATCCTGCAGTTTTTTGATGATCGATAATTCACAGATTCAATACTGCCAGCACCCAAAAACACATCAATATTCAACACAAAGTTGGTGAGAATAACAATGACAACTTTGGAAAAACATTGGAGAAATTTTTCTACTCCACAGATACATTCAAGAGAGATCATCATTATTCACTTGACATGGAACTTTATTAGAGAAGGTTCGACATCCTGCCAATTTTAAGCAAAATTTGAACTTTTATCTCTCTACAGAGTTTTTGATAAACGTCTTTTAATTTTTCTAACAATTTTGATATCAGTCAGCTGGTAGCCAGTGGTTAGTTCCACTTATTGAAAAACCGCAATAGTAGAAGTAGTAGAGTATGAATATATCCAGGCTCCATGAGGATGGAAAATAGAAAAGTTTCAATTCGGAACTTTTCATTTTCCTTCACGGAATCAATATCCCCGCTCCCCAGAGCATAATACAACATCGATATATTTTCAATACCGTACCGAATGCCGGAGTTCGTAATATTGCATTTGAAAGGCCACGATATACTGAAGGCTAAGACCGACTGCTAACAGCAAATGCGCAAGAGTCTCAGATCCACCAGATGTAAGAAATCTCCACACCAATTACGCCAGAGCAAGAAGTTGAAAAAACTATCGTGAGCACCTTCTTCCCAACTCCAACCCTGAGGATAGCAAAGCTTACCTCCATGCATAAGCCGATGTTTTCAATGTTATTGAAAAATACTCTAAGGTCATGTTATCCTATGGATACAGGCTGAAACCATCCGCTAACAAAAAATCCACGAGAGTATCAAGACCACCTGGTATCAGGAATATCCATGCCCATTACGCCAGACCAAGGTATTCCAGGCTGTGGTGAACCACTCCGTATCTGCTTCAGTCCACTAGATCTGAGAAAAGCATATTTCATCTTCTTGTATAAACCGAGGTTTCAAATTTCATTCAAAACACTACGCAAGTTAAACCAGGTTGTCTACCTGTGGCCCTTTGTGATATTAGCCAGGGAAGTAGTTAATTTTGTCCAATAACCTACAGTGTAGCCTAAACGAATTGTTATTTTAGATAATTCGATTTACAAACTAATACGTCTTTCTTCAATAATTTTCTAATATTTGGGGCAGGTGCTACGTTATCAAATCTGAATAATTTTTTTTTACAGATTATGAAAGAAGCTGGTGTGGACGTTTTCCCAGAACCCGATGCATTCTGCTATGTTTCTGGTAAGTTTGTCAGTCTCATCAAACACCGTAGGACTTCGGTTATTCATTTCCTTTTCACGATGAACTATTATGTCAAAAAAAATTATCGAAAACTAGTCAGTGAAACGCCAAATATGTATTTTTCATCCAAATTTGTTGTATTGCCTTCGAAGTAGGCCCGTTAAGAAATAATACACTGACTCCAACGAACAACCCAATCATCAATTTTCAAACGCATTTTTTTGGATCGATTTCAGTACTCGCCGCAAATTCTGTATTATTTCATCTAATGATTAAAAACGGGAGCCTCGAAATGGTATTTTGAATTTTGCAGAAAAAAAAATCTGTCAGAGCCGAATCAGGTGAATACAGTGGCTATTCGATAAGATTTTGGCCAGACGCTCGTGCGTTATCACAACGCTCTGGTAATCAAACTATTAAGATCACCGTCACACTTGATAGATTTTGACGAGCTTTTCTCGGTTTCGGTTCAGTTGGAAAGCGCCATTTTGAAACTTCTTGACATATCAAATTCGTAAACCTGCCTGTTCCATCAACAATTACAACGCGTTCTATGGATTTGGGTTCGGACTGACGCGTTCTGACATATCTTCAGCCTTCAGCGATTGAGTTTTTGCGAAAAATTCAGGTCTTTTGGCACTAGTCGAGCGGCAACCTGAAAAATCGTTGAAAATGGTACGAACTAATTCCTTAGACTTAGACATTTCAGCAGCTAACACTCTCAGACGATTTTCAGTCACCATTTTCTTTACTTCAGCGATGTTAAGTTCAATTGAGGCTGTTGATGGCCGACCAGAGCAGGGCAAATCTTCCACCACATCTCTACCCCTTTTAAATGCACTCTACCACTCATATGCACGTCATTTTTTTAGTTGAGTCGATTTACCGTGAGTTTATGCAACATTTTCAGTGCTTCGGCACACGAAATTATATTTTCAATGCAAAATTCAATAAAAATTCTTCGTTCGATATTCTTCTCCATTGTAAAAATTGCAAAACACGTTTGAGGTAAACTGAAAATTTGAGCAATGTAAACAAACTAAATGACGCATGGCGCCCAGTTGTGCCAACCTAGCTAGAAAAATAATTTAGACAAGTCCTTCACGCGGGCTTTCTGAATGTCAGAATGATAATTTAGGTTTTTGTTCAAGGTAGTTGTGAGAAGCAGTGGCCAATGGAGAAGCATTTGTACAATAATATGGCAAGGCTCAGTAATGTTTTCAATTTTGCTTGGTCGAGATGGAATTTTCCAGCTGGAAGGAGAAGTATTGTTCTTCAGATGAGAGAATATTTTCCTAATAAACCAAAACAGGTGACTAAACTTTACATTCTTGAGTGTATGAGTATCTAAAAAATGTATTATCCCACCACTAGTACAATCGATTGTTCAATTATTTACATGACTTTGAATCTTCCTTGATTATAAGGCCTAAATATTTATGTTTTTAACTTGGTTGATTAATTGGTTCCCAATTTCAAGATTCAATTTTATATTTTTCATATTTATTTGCTCGAAAATAATGAAAATTGTCTTTTCTAAGTTGATTGTTGTTGTCTGTTGATTGTTAAATCAACTTATAAAAGACAGTTTCCATGATTTTCATTTTAAATTTTTTCATGTCGTTATTTATATTTATTTCCGATGATTTCTCATTTGTTTTTGAATAAAACAGTACAAGATCATCTGCAAATTAGAAGTGATCACCTGATCACCCATCAAACCTATACCGGGTGTCCCACATTTTATGTGACAGGCAATATCTGGTTTGTTGAAGGATATACACAAAAATGTCTCATACAAAAGTTTTAGGAGTTCATGAGAGCTATATTTTGATATCATTTTTAAATATACAGGGTGTTTGGTGTAGGTGCTACAGACCAAAATTCCATTTTTTAAAATAGAACGCCCTGTATATCATTACATATTCAGATGCTACGTTAAATTCTGATATCATTTCATGTTTGGTTTTTGAAATTCGGTNACCCTGTATATTTAAAAATTATATCAAAATATAGCTCTCATGAACTCCTAAAACTTTTGTATGAAACATTTTTGTGTATCTAGTTCAACAAACCAGATATTGCCTGTCACATAAAATGTGGGACACCCGGTATTTTCAATATTGTCAACTTAAAGCAAATAGAAAATTGTGCAGATTTCGATTTGCAGATTTCTTCAGATTGTAGGTTATAAATTCCAAGAAGACTACAGAAGGCATAGATTCCTTTTCATGAATATTACATGGAAATCATGAAACTTTTCAGTGAAAATCAGAAACTTTCATACTAAATGACGCGAATAAACTTGAGAAAACTTGAAACACGACTTGAAACTTTGATATGATGATATTTATTTTCTAGAAAAATCATTCTATGCTTCTTGTTACTCCGTTGAAGTCCACTTATGTCGACTGTACCGAGGTTAGCCAGGTTTTCTCCGATCAAGGAATTGAAAACCAAAAGGTAAAATCGACAATAATTTTTATATTTCATTAACAGTATTCTTTCAGTTCAGTGCAGATTTATTTAACCTCATGAAAGCTACCAGTGGAATTGCAGTGAGAAAGAAGGTCCAAAGCGTTTCGAAGGAGAACGTCCACGCCTTATCGGAACTTTTGATCTATATGAGAATTCTGAGTCTTTCCTGAAAAATAAACGTTCATACGTGAATATTAATTGTTTCAATCAATTAAAAAAACACCTAAACCTAACCTAACCTAACCTAAAAGATTAAATTTTTTTCTGTATACGTCTGATTTTCTTTTCAAAATTGATGGACACATCATAATGACGTTTCTGTCACGATTATAATGAGGATTATGATAAGGCGCGAGTTTGCCGCCATGTTGAAAGAGCGGTAGATTGAAAATTTCGTATAAAGCAATGACAGGGAAACCAATATTATCTCAACAAGTTGCCGGTATCCTCTTACGAAGGCGCCGTCTCTGGAATCGGCTCTATCCTCAAATATCAGAGCTTGAAAAATGAAGCACTCGTGATTCAACACCAGACAGCGCTGTTTCTACTCGTCATAGGTCTCATCAGTGGTGCTAGGCTGAACCACAAATGCGTGGCTGGACTCAACTGCCCTTGAAAGACAATCCCGAGTAAATAAGGTTGATGACATCTTCCATTACGGTGTCGCCATCTATGAGATCGACACAGAACTCAATCGTCGAATATCGGAAATTAACGAGGCTCCCCTAGGCGGTCAGTTGCACAGCCAGGCTTCGACATCGACCCCCGATGAGATTCGTTCTCTACCTTTCGCTGTAGCTTCCACTGCAAGGCACCTAGTTATTTGAATCAGTATCAGCTCTAGAGCAGCTGTATGACACGTAGAAATTGCTCCTGTGATTCTCCAAGAAGCGTTTCTTGGCACTTTATTTAATTTAGCGTATGCTAATTGTGATTTTTCAGTCGGTATATCAATGAAGCCTAGGTATAACCATAGGTTTATTTTGACATATATATCTTTTTATTTATTTATTCCCAAGAAACTACATGAATATATAATTTCAGAGGGAGCTATTTCAGAAATGTTCAAATTAGTAGCAAAAAAAACAAACAAATATGATTATGTAAACTAATGAAACAAGTAGATCTTTTGATGTTATTTTGGATTTTTCTGTATTGGAAAATTGTTTATCGTCGTTTGGTAATTCATTATATGCAATTATTCTTTTTTAAAATATAAATTTTCTGGAAAATGCAGATTTGAGATTTTTGATAACAAATTATTGAGCTGGCTTGTTTGTGGAATGTTTTTTATTTTTTATTACGGACTGCAGGAAGATGCATACTCTTGAATTATGAATAAAATGTTTAGCTAGTTTTAAGAAATGTAGATGAAATAAGGAATTCAGCTTCAGATGCTTAAGAAATATAGTTTATATTTTATATAGAATCCCAATAACTGGAGCTAGCTTTATTAAATGACATCGATCTAGATATTCCACGATGTGAACCTAAAAACTGAATGCTAGTGAATCTTTCAATTTTGTCCTCTTACTGGGCTCTTTATAAATGAACATGAATGACGATTTTTCAAAATTCAAAGTCAATCTGTGAATATTGAGCCAACTATCTATTTGTTTCAAATCGGCTTCTATTTGTTGGTGTATTAATTGTGAATCTTCACTGCAATAGATCAAAGTTGTTTCATCAGCAAATAGCACTAATTATTCAGAAAGTTGTAATTCCGAAATGAAATGTTTATGAATGAGAAAGAATAAAGGTCCTAATATAGATACCTGCGGTACTCCACAGACATTTTTAATGAACTATTCTTATTGTCCATAGACAGACATTGTTTCCTGTCACCTAAATAATTTTGAAACCATAAAAATGCATTGTCTCTAATACCAATATCAAATATATTGTTCGAAGCCCAGTTCTTTTCAAATATTTTGAATATTATCTACGTAATTTTTCGACAGTTATCGACAGTTAATCCTTCATTTGCTCTCAAGTAACGACATTGTGAACTCCTTATCGTGCAACTTTGTCATGAAATACCAACGACCAAAGATGAGGAGATGGAAAATACCTCTTCTTGGAGACAGTATTTTTCCAGTTACCCAAATCTTCATTTCCAGAGACTAGTGAGTACTAGTCTGCTTCCGAGCATTGACTGTTTAGCTCCTCCAGCAATCTAACAATGTATTCATGTGAGACCACTTCTCAACAATGAAGGCACAAAGGGCTTTTCTTCTGCCGCAGACGAAAGTGAACTAGTGGGCATCATAAGCAAATCCTTTCTTCACACCCGGTATACATGTCCCAGCGATGCCACAAAGTCGCGCCGTTACTGCAGTCATTCTGCAGGTGGTTTTTATAAAAAATCTAGGTTTTTGTTGCCTTCGCGCCAGTCCGGCAACAGCGCTTCGTGTGGTCCAGAGCTACTTTCAAGTGCGCACATTCACTACGCACCACACACCAGTTTGGGGCACGCGGTGACTTCCCCTTCCCCTGCTATACTACCGTTGCGATCGCCCGCGACTGCTACGTTACTCGCCACAAAGAAAAAGCCAACTAGATATTTCCATTCATTGTTTTTTGCGTGGCGGAGATCGAACGTGACATGGTGCTCCTGTCGGACAAAGACTTCTGAACATCCGAATCGGTCACCGTCGTGTGGGTTATCCTGGGCCAATATTTTCTAGTCGTCTTGACGCTTGTGTAACCCTGAATAACACACGACGGTGACGATAATCAGCAAGTGCGACAAATCGGTTCTCGCGCACCCATTGGTCGATAAAGCAGCCAGTGCACGTGATGTGCTTCCCGTAGAAAGCGTTGCGGAGGACACGACATACTCAGTTCGCAGGAAAACACGGGTTTTCTCGGCGATTTCTGATCGGCAATTCAAACCCTTCCGAGAAAATCGCTCACATCTGCGTACCAGGCGAGTGACAAGTGAAAGTTTCGTGGAAGGAAAACTTCCAAGGCTCCCACGATTGAATACGTCGTACGTTGGACAGTGAGTAATATTTTTGAAATCATTTACGATTTTTTTCTTCGATTTCCATCATCCCATCGCTGCTTTCCGAGATGTAGGGTGTTTTCTTAGAGGGGCATTGCCCGGGCTGTGCCGCGTGACGTGAGCATGTGCGCTAACGCTATTGGTCGAAGTCCGTGGACACCTCGCTCTCGGTAGGCTCGATTCTTTTGTTTATTTTCATCGAAAACCTTTCCATTTCTTTCAAGTCCTTAGCACTCGTCAAAAACGGCATGAAACAAATGGAAGAGTAGTAGGCAACCAACATATATCGCACAAACATAAATAAATAAATGTGACGTCTCGCAATTGTTTGTTGTTTCTGGTCCTGACACGTTGTAAGCGTATCGACGTGACTGGCATTGTTGCCAAACTGCTTTCGATTTGCCACTCCTTGAAAAAATAACTATTTCCTGTTTTTCAGCAATTTTTCTCACTCAGTCATTACTTGTCTTCAGTTTATTTAAAAATAATCGAACTTCGGGTTGTAACTCAGTTTTGTTTTCGAGACAAAAGGAAATTGTTTCACGGTGTTCGGGGAAAGCCATACGAGTTGAATGTTTTCTCACGATAAAAAAGTGAATAAAACTCTGCCTGAATAAATGTAGAACGCAGTTGAAACTTTCTTTTCGTAACGGGCTCGTTACCCCGGTTTTATATCTAGTTATGTGTGTCGTCGACATTTGCCACAAACAAAATAAAAAGTGTTTTGGATCAGCGTACCTAACTGCGTTTTCGATTCCGTTCCTACCTATCACATGACAAGAATCAGTAGATTTTGTAATGAGTAACATTGAAGAGGATTGATTTCGTTTCAATAGTAATAACAATTGGAAATGTCAAGAAAATTTTGAACTGTGAGAAAAGTACATACTTTCAATGGACGTTTTCCTTTCTTTCACAACGAAATAGTGATCTTTCTTTGTTCCATTACTACATTCAACGGACGCTACACATTTTAATAGATTCGTATGAACGTTTTTTTTCTCTCCTAGCCAGGGGTCCATAAAGCTCGATTTTGCGTAACGCTTATTATCAAGCTATCCATGATGCAGGCAGGGAGAAGTTGATGCAACGTTGCCAAGTAGATCAATACATTCTACCTATCTCCCATTTGGCTGGGTTTTCTGAGATTTTGCTGGGGCTAAGCGACTTTGGACTCAATATCATTTTGCGAATATCAAAAATGTACATGATAGAACATTTGCTGGAAAGAAAATTGTACATATTCTCATACAAAGCTGCCAAGCTTTATAATCAATTGCCTCCGGAATTTATAAATCAGAATATATTCAACTTTAAAAAAACTCAAATTTCTTATCAATCAAACGTATTAACTTGTATTAACGATCTGACATTTTCCATTGTTCAATATTGTTTCGGTTTTTTTATGTGTCTAATCAATTTAATAATTGATCAAGTAATTCTAGGTTGGGTTGAAAAATACTTTGCAGTGACACCTCGCCTTTTCACATTATAATACATCGTTTTGTCAAAATCGTGGTCTGCAGGTTTTTATGCTCGACGTTTCGTCTACTACTGCGGTATACATTATCAAAGGTGATGCCCATGTTGTTGTTTTCATTGTTTTTTGTAGTTTTTGTTGGTCTGAATATTGGTTTCACGTCGTGTTTCTCTAAGATTCTCCCAATCCGATCTGTAACATTTTTAATATAGGAATGAAGAGCTTCTCCCTTGACCAGCGCCCTGCTGGGGTTACTTTGACGTTCGATCTCCTGGGTCGTATGACCCGCTCTCGAATTCTCCTTCGCTGTAATGATTCCCTTTGAAAGCATTTTTTAGATGATTGAGTTCCATGTCCGGATCTTCAATTTTTTTCAGGCGGGACAAAAACTGAAAAATGCCGCCCCGCCCACTCATATACATTTCTACCTTTGTCATCGTTTTCAACCTTTGCCAGCTCATTCTTTTCTGCAATCCTGGCTTGTACTCCTTTATAGATGCCGGTTACATTGGACCCATTATCACAAAATTGGCCACAATATTGTCCAAAATCTAAATCACCAACTGCCATTTTTTCTAAACTCTGTTAACAAATGTCCTCTCCTCTCTTTCCAGCAACTTCTATGAAATCAATAAAACTTTTTTATTTCAGACACATCGCCATTTCCTATCACATATCAAATTACCTAGCTCATTTGTTCAGTATGGGACACATCTGGAGTCGAACGTGATCGTGTAGTATTCGGCTTCTTTAGTGTCATTTAAAATGGGATTTCTAACTGTTTTTGTCATTATGTCAATTTCATTCTGTATTGACTTTGAGTTGAGACTGTCCTGATGATTTGATTTAAAGCCAGTCTTCAAGTATGCCTACCGACTATAGTTTTCTTTCCTTACACGAGGAATTGGGCACATTTCGGATATGCGGTTGGTTACCTCGTTCACGGGCAGACAGGGCGATGACAAACCTGTTGTTTGTTGTCCGCTTCAACCTAGTTCGAGGAATGATACTCTGAAAGAATTCGATTTTCAATTATCGAAAGTCATCGACTTTATGTTGATGATAGACACTACCTTGCACTGACGAGTGGCCAAACAACCCGAAACCGGTCTGCAAGTGTGTTCCAATAATTGAAAATCTATTGCGGCAGTTGTATCGCCAACAGAATATGCAGGAACAACTTCAGTGAAGTTGTCCTTGCATATTCAACAACAACCCGCAGAGAAGATCGTTTGTTACGACTTTGGGCAATTAGGGGTCGCACCGTTTCTTCTAGAACACTGCAAAATCGCCTTATAGAAGCTACGGGAACGCGAATTTCGAACCAAACAATACGAAACCGACTTCACGAAGTACAACTCCATGCAAGACGACTTGTTAGAGCCCTTAGATTAACTCCAGCTCATCGAGGAAATCGTAGAAACTTATGTCAAGAGCATCGTAATTGGAATTTAGAGCAGTGGGCCAATGTAATGTTTACAGATGAAAAAAAAATCATGTTATTCAACAATGAGGGACGTGTTCGGGTATGGAGACGTCCCGGTGAACGCTATTTGGATGACTGTGTGCAAAAAGTTGTTCCATTTGGAGGTGGATCGATAATGGTATGGGCTGGTATAACTTCGACAGGACACACGGACCTTGTGGTATTTCGGGAAGGGACTTGAATGGCTGTCCGTTACATAGAGGAGATATTGGAACCTCTCGTCGTCCCATTTGCCCAAAATAGGGCGCTGGGTTAATTTTACAACAAGATAATGCCAGGCCACACTTGAGAAATTTCCTACAGGAGCACAATATTAATGTCATGAGATAGCCAGCTAATAGTCCGGATTTAAATTCTGTTGAGCAGCTCCGGGATGAACTGGAAAAACGTTTGAAGGATCATCAACCCTTCCAAAATCTTCTAATATATAATTATATGATTTACATAAAAAAAAGATCCAGCAATGGGAATAGAACTCGGTTATAGAAAAAATATATGCAATGGGGAATGTTCCTCCCGACGAAAATCAAGTACTTTTCATAAAAGAGGTGTAAAACAACGCATTTTAAACTTATCATTTCAACCTTTTTCTTTAAATAATTATTTAAATACTTAAAAAAGAGGAATGAAATAATACATTCAACATTTAAACGGATTCGTTTCGATTTCACCATTTGGCAACATCGGTTATAGCTAATAAAGGACAATGAATCTGTTACCTGTATGAGACAAACAAAGATGAAATTTCAGAGACGTGCTGTTCTGTTTACTTATGTTCCGAGACATTCTGTGACATATGACATTTTGTGAATCTAACCTATCTTCCTCTATATAAATAAATAACAAAACAACTGTTGTTTATGTGGCTTGTGAAGGTGGTATTGAACTATAATTTATGTTTTGCCTTAATTGTTGATTTATAAAGATAATTTTCCTTTTTTAAAGTAGAATATCTAGGTACGTATAAATTATTTCAACTTGATATAGGCGGTGTTGCCAATATGTGAATTAGAAACAAATCCCTTTAAAAATTAAAACCCAACATTTGAAACATCAATTTGAATACTTTTGGAAGTAATTTTGAAAAACTCATGAATTAAACTCAACTTTATTTTGTTCAAACTTGCATTTGTAATAACCCAAATTGAGGAACATTCCTTATTCACGCGTTACCGCAGAGCTACTCTGGCGATTACCGATTGATTGAGATATGTTATTCGCTTTGCGAGTGAGTAAATCAATTTGAGGAGTTTTAAATAAAATAATAATGTCAAATACGATTGCGAACAGGAATTTTTTGTCTGTGAACTATTTTCAAATTCTTTTGCTAGGCTGTTATGGTTCACAGCATTATCGAAAGTGGGCTTTGCTTTAGAGGCGTCTGGCAAATGAAATACGATTGGCTGTTGGCTGATGAGGTTAAATAATTCATTTTCAGCCTTTACGTAGGGTCTTAGTATTTCAAAAATTGTTGCAAAAATTTCATAAAAAATTAATAAAAGGAAGAAGCGGAAAAGGGTACCTTCGAAAACGAATATTTGCCATCTGGAGCTTCCTTAATGAATCGAGTATTTGTTCAGTGATAAGCGATGACGACTTCTTCGGTTTATAACCATCAGATTTGCGTTATAGAGAGGAACGGAATTTGAAATATTTGCTGATGTCCACAGTTTTTTTGATATTCAGGGTACTTCTAAGCATAAAGTAAATTTTATTTTCCATAAGGTGAAATATTCAACAGATTTAAAACAAATCTGTAGATCTCAAAAACTTTAAATTATACGTTTTGCACTATAATTCATTGACATTTACATTATCGGTTGATGAAATGAGCAAAATTAATGAATTAATTATTAATTAATATCGAAAAAAACTTGGAAAAACGATTACGACCTACTACGTGGCGAATCAAAAGCGGTATTTGAGACTGCAACTATTTCAAGAGCAACTACAAATCTAACATGTCTGAAGTAAATTAATTTATGAAAAAATCTTGTAATAATCGAATATGAAGAAATTAATTATGAAAGG